GCACCCAGGAGAGGCTGCAGCAGTAGTGGGCTTGAAATGAAGTGAGCAGTAAGTGGCATGGCTGGTTGTTCAGCCATATTCCTTCCTCCTCTGTGTACATTATTATGGAAGCAGCAGAGGATTTCTTGCTGCATTTCATGAATTGATCAGAACAGGATAGTGAATGCATAGCATTTCTCTGCCTGCCCGACCCCCCCCCCCCCCCCCCCCGCCCTGTGCTAGTTTGCCATTAGTTCATTACGAAATGAAAGCAAGTGCTCCATAAAAATTTGTTACAAGATGCCTTTTGCCTTCGTTTAAGCAGTTGCCCATGTTCACACTAAGGTTGTGGGCCCATGCACCCCAACAGGAGATTTTTAGCTGAGATGCAAGGGACATATCTACAACTATATCCTGCCTCCTGCATACATCATGCATGGGATGCAAAAATGCAGGGAGCTGACCTTTGCTTTATCTTAAGTTACGCACAGCAGACTGTTTTTCCTGGATTTCTTTTGCAAGGAAAAGCAAAGGAAGCATTCACTTTGACCTCCGTTTCCTCTTTTATCCTTTGTATCTTTTCTTCATCATAAGCTTCTCTCTGGTCAACTGAGTTTCAAACTATGTACTTCTCAAGGGAGACATTCCTTTATCTATGCCACAGGACATGTTTCTGTTGTCTGGGGGAGAAACATCTCCCAAGAAATGTACAATCTGCTAACTGATGCCCAAAACCCAACCAGAGAGGCAGGAAACGGTAGTACAGTCTGTCAGGCAGATCCATCCTCTCAACATTGCATTGTGAAGCTCCAGACGTTCTTGGTTCACTTATTTTTTTAACTCAGATTATTTTCCCCATAAGAATTGTGTTTCTGAACCATGAATCAGGCATTATGGTGGGGATTAACCCCTCCTTCAGCGTTCAAGGAAAGTGATTTGTTCATTGCCATCCACCATTTCTGCCTTTTGCCTCCTGCTACATTGGGTGGAGGAGCTCTGTGACTTGTCCTTCGTCAAGTCAAAGAAGCACACACCAGGGAATGCACACATGTCACCTTCTCCACAGGTGTGTGTCAAAGGTTGGTCAGCCAAAAGGAGTGGTCTCTTTTACAGTTCCTTGTCTCCATACTGTTGGCCTACATATGTCAAATGTGCTCCGTCTGATTTTACAGTGTTGGTAAGAATTGCTTTCTGTTGAGCCTTCACAGATTTTTTTAAATGGGTGGCTAATGCACTGCAGGTAAGTGCAGAGCCCCCTCGTGCCCTACCCGACTTTCAGCACTTACACTGCCTTACTTATGGACTGAGCTAGCTGGGAACTGTCGCACTCCCTCCAGATGACCCTGCTTCTGGTGGGACTTCTGCTTAGAGGCTGGGCTGATGCTCTTTAGCTCTCCATTGGGACCTGGGACTTCCTTATTTCTCAGTAACTCATGAACTTGTTCACAACAGCTGCACTGGAGAGAACGTGATATATTGTTGTAAAGGAGCAAGAGACGGATTGTGATAGGAAAAGAGTTTTTTTCATACTGAAGATCCTTCCGTTCATCTCCCTTCTGGAGGGCACCCGGCAAGCTCTGGCACAGAAAACTGAAAACACCAACATCAGTCGGACATAATCTACTGGAGCATAAGCTTTCTGTAGCATCTTTGGAGCTGCCATTTGGAGTCACATTTTTGCTAGACAACATGTTGCTATTGAAGCATTTGGCAGGCATCAGCAGAGCAAGTATAGCCATTTTGCTTGATTTCAGAGCTCCTTCTTTAGATAAGGGAGACATCCATAGCCCTACAGTCAGCTAAAAGGAGCTATTTGCCAGTAATCCAAAAGACGTTGTCCATTTACACATTACCAGCACATGCACATTCCCCTCAGTCCCCGGGCTCATGATGCTGCAAAATTCAATTCAGGAAGTACAGGCAAGGTCTGAACCCACCTATTCTACTGTGTGCTAGAT